ACGTACGTATATATATATATATATATATATATATATATATATATATAGTTTATCCCTTTTGTTTTGACAAAAGATCACTTACAAAATGGTCTTATTACAATAACCTGAAATTCAAAATAAATTCAGCATAATTATAAAACTTTTCTTGGAGAGAAAAGTCAGAGGAGAGAGAGTGGGGTGTGCCTCTTTGGGAGAGAGGAGAGAGAGAGTTATGGGAGTGATAGAGAAAAGGTGTAGAGAATAAGGGGAGGTAGACCCCTATTTATAGTGCAAATTTAGGTTTATGGTTTCTTAGGGTTTCTCATAGTTTGCCTCTTTTGTTGAGATTGAATGCCGTTGATCAAGGTAACTTGTGGGGTGAGAGATCTGAGCCATCAATTCCATAGATGGGTCATCAACATTATGGAAGGTGCATGGACTATTATCCCTATTTCCTTAACTATTTTCCCATCAATAGAAATTAAATAAATTAAATTTAATTAAAATATTATGTATTCTATAAAATAGCATAATCCACCTCGTATTTTCCATGAGAATGTTTCAAAGCATAACAAGAAAATATTCTCTTTGATATTTAGTTAATATATGATCAACATGTTTCCATGTCACATTTGACCACATGCTACAATTTATATTTTACCAAAACACAAAAAGAAAGGAATCCAAAGTGGGTGGGGCATGCCACCCATGGGTGGCACATGTGGGCCCCACCTTCTAAATGCATGGTGGGCTCATGTGCACAATGGGTCATCATGATATTTTCATGCATTTTAAAATCAATAAAATAATTTCTAAAATATTATTTGAATTTTATACTATTGTAAAATCAATATATTTAATTTTATAAGTCCAAAATTATAAATAAAATATCAAATGATTCATAAAAATTTAAATAATAGTTATAAAATAATAGTTATAAAATAATAGTTATAAAATAATAGTTATAAAATAATAGTTATAAAATAATAGTTATAAAATAATTTAAATAATAGTTATAAATAATTTAAATAATAGTTATAAAATAATAGTTATAAAATAATAGTTATAAAACAAATATAATTAAATTAATTTGATGGGAAATGGATCTATATGGCTTAAAAATTTAATCAACAATCATGAGACACTCCACCTTCAAGACCACACTTGCTTTATCGAACCGACCTACTGTTTCCCGTGACCCACAGTCTATGCAGGGGCTCATTAGCACGTCACCAAATTCTGGCCGATGAGCCAAGGGGTCGCAATCCCAATTTGTGGATTACAGGTTCTCCCTTAGAGACGAATCAAGATCACTAAGACCTTATGGGACTACAACTCTATGACGCATAGGGGTATCTCTCGCACATGCATATGCTTCACCCTAAAAGGTGGATTTCTGGCTCTCTCAAATGATCTATCGATATGCATGCCATGTGATGGTACATGGATGACGTTTTGGCCCCTGTCTCTATAGGCCACCATCACACACAAGGGTCACACAGTCCCTCGACTCTCTCATCCGGGCATGTTCTTCGACCTCATCAAGGGCTCACCTATGAACCCTCATTGGTTTATTCTTCATGCCTAGGTAGTATGGGTTTTTCCCAACCGACTGGCTTAGATCGTCAAGCACAATCTGGTATCAGCAAACCATTGTTTGCTTAGTATGGTACACAAGGGACCACACTCTCACTGAGTTCATGTTCTACTATAGCAAATGTTTTTG